GGAGTGCGACTCGCCAGTCCTTCGTTTGGATGCGAAAGAGAAAGAGGGAGGTCAGGATGACACACAGGGCATGCCTGTGTCACGTGGAGCAGAGCCATTTCTGAGGTCCATACGCTCCAGTCTCTTGTTGGCGGCGGTTGAGCAGGGTATTCTGCTTCCAAGCGTGGTGGGGAATTGGCAGGTCGATGCGGCCTGGCAAAACAATGAGAAACAGATCCGCTACAAGATCTGTTTGGAGCCGGGACCTGGGGGTGTCCTGACGGGCAGGTCCTTCTTGAAAAATGTCACGGAGGTCAGTGCAGAACTCATAGGCTCAAGGTTAAAGATTACGCAGATGACGGCGGACGCCGTCTATGATTGCGTCTGTGATGTCTCCGTGGACAAGAATCGATGGATGCACGGCACTTGGGAAAGCCGCAAAATTGGCAGTCATGGAACTAGGCAGTTTCAGGGTACTTTTACAGCTTCGAGGCTGGGTGCGGTGCGATACGTTGATGGTCACCTGGAAGAGTGGGATGAGATGACCTCGTGCGTGGTGGCGTTCGCGCGTCTGAGTGAGGGTCCAGTTCGTTGGGGTGAAGTGAGCGACGTGGGGGCAGTGCTGAAAGATCTCGTGGATTCACGAGCTGAGGACTCCTCCAAGGCCTTGGCAGTCTTTGCCGAAGATCTGACTTGGCTGATGGCAGACCCCTGGATGTGGCAGCTGCTGCTATTAATACTCATGAACTGGTGTAGCCAAACGGCACAGAAGCGGCGACCCTTGCATCCTCAGGGAGCTGCTGCCCTGTATTTGCTGCATTGTAGTGCTGCTTCTCTGGACAACAAGAAGGGAGACATTCTCAGAACGCCGCCCTCCGATGAAGAATTCGCAAAACTGGGCTTGCATATAGCGGATATTACAGCAGCGCTCCACAGCATCGCGAAGCCGAAAGTCTTCGTCAACGAGCACGGCGAAGCATGTGGCCAGACTATGCCATACCTCTGTCATGACAACTCCGTAGATGCAGATTTTCGTCCTGCTCTTGAGCGAGCAATGCAGCATGCTCAAGGCCTTGATGGCGAAGTCAGAGCATCCGCTGTCACCACACTAAGGCTGCTGCTTGCATCCATGGCGGGCCGCGCTTGCTACCTGAGGAAAAGCCACCGTCTTGCGACTTGCATGGAACTGGCTGCCGAATGGCACCCAACCGAGGGCTCTGATTGGGTCCTGCAGCTGTACGTAGACTGGCTCATGAACACCACCTACCATCGCCACTGGAAGCTGGAGCCATACTTGTACGAACCGCTGGTTGAAGGATTCACGAAAATGGCGGCAAAAGATGCGATGATTCATTTTCGGCTGCTTGTTTTTTTGGAGGTCTGGTCCCGAGCAACGCACTGCGGTCAGATACGCCCGGATTACATTCGAAAGTGCTTCCATGAAGATCTCCCCGCACGTGGCTGCTTCGAAGATGCTCATTATGCCTGGAAGGAGCACCTGGCATGCTTGTACTACGTGAACTCTTACAAGTCCGACTGGAATCCTTCGGATTCAAAGACTGCACTCCACACCCGCTTTCCGGTGTCCTACCTCAGAGGCTGCTACGAGCAGAAGTCCTCCGAGGACCCACAGTCCAAGTCTGCGGCTGTCTTCCTTCGGAGGGAAGGCGAATGGTTGGTGGAGGTCCCGGTCTGGCCGGCGCCTCTGAAAAGGAGGAGGACCTCGTCTCTGCGCAATCCCTAGGAATTGCAAAAGGCATGGTGATCTTGAGAGATATGCTAATCTAGACTATACCCTACTACACTACACTGCGCCACACTACACTATACTACACAAAACTGTACTACACGATACTATAGTATACTATTCTACACTGTACTATACTACACCATGCTACACTGTCCTACACTATACTACGCTATTCTATACCGCTTTGACCTTCTTGAAGCTGCATGGCTCCACACAGCCCCCCGAGAGGTTGGAGACAAGAAGCTCGAGGCTGCGATGCTTTGCATCAACGCGGAGGTCAATGTTGCCGGAGACTGAATTTTCCAGGAGAATGCCGCAGCAGACCCCCTATATTCTGCTATACCGTACTTTGCGAAAGTATACTATGCTGTAGTTTTTCATCCCATGCTATATATGCTATGATATACTGTACTATACATGCTAAACTATACTATACGATACTGTACTATACTATACTATACTATACGATACTATACGTTGCGATATGCTACGATACCATACCCTACTCTACTCTACTCTGCTCTACTCTGCTCTACTATGCTAGAGTATACCATACTGTACGATGCTGTACGATACTATACTCTACTATACTATCTTATACTCTAGAGTGGTGGCCGAGGTGGAGAACTACATGGGGAAGGCCAATGAGCAGGCCCGCTTCATTGGGCCTCGGACCAGAGCATGACATCTGAAAGCACATGAACCCCAAACCCCTAAACCCTACTTAGAGGATCATGGGGCTTAGTAATTAAGGTTAAAAGTACCCTAATTGGGGTTATAAGTATAGTTACCTTATTTATAACCCTAGTTACTAAGTCCCATGATCCTCCAAGTAAACCTCCAAACCCTAAACCCTTCGTCAACACACTTAAGCGTGAGCACCGGAAAGAAGATTTGGGGCAGATTGGGGCAACGCCTGGTTGCGGGGGCCTCCGTGCGCTGGGTTTGGGGAGGTTCCGGGCCTTAGGGTTTAGGGTTTAGGGTTTAGGGTTTAGGGTCTAGGGTTTAGGGTTTAGGGTTTAGGGTCCTACATCCGAAGATGCAGCCACGAAACTACTCGAATTCGGCCCTGGTTTCGGCAAAATTGAACGCCGTCCCTACACCCGAACATGCTTTAAGTTGTCCTGATTCAGCAAAAACCCATACGCCGCTCAAATTGAGCCTGGAGCTTTGCGCAAACCCAAATGCATTTTCCGAGGCCTGTTAAACGCATTCGGCCCTGGTTTCAGCAAACCTTGTGTTCAATGCCCGGCTGGGCGTGGACAACCCATCTACAGCTCCGTCAGGTTTGCTGGTGCCCTATACTGTGAGCCCACCGACGGCCTTTCCGCTGTTGGGGATGCTCAATTGGATTACTTTCATGGTATCCTTACCAAAACCGAATATGCTACAGGGTTTACTGGCGAACCTAGCTGAACCCCTAAACCCTAAATGAAGCCTAACAGCGAAACAAACACTAAGTACACCCTCAACCCCAAACGTCAATGCCGTAAACTCTAAGCCTCATAACCCTAGGCCCCTAAACCCTAAATGAGCCCTACACCCAAACCCCAAACTCGCCGTTAAAGATACAACCCCATGGGCTTTTGTGCTGAAAAAACCGCGCCGTGCCCTAAACCCTAAACCCTAAACCCTAAACCCTAAACCCTAAACCCTAAACCCTAACAGGCAAAGCAAGCCCTGGCCATCTTCCGTGAACTGCGGGATGCGGAGGGCGAGGCTTTGGGCCTTGGGCTTCGGGGCTTCGGGTTTCGGGTTTAGGGTTTCGGGTTTAGGGTTTAGGGTTTAGGGTTTAGAGTTAAGGTTTAGGGTTTAGGGTTTGGGGTTTAGGGATTAGGATTTAGGGGCCTTCGGGGCTTAGTTAGGGTGTGCCCGAGCTTTAACGTTTCGGGCTTGGGGCTTTGGGGTTTGGGGTATATAGGCTCTAGAGGGTCTGGGGTTTTAGGGCTTAGGCTAAGGGTTTGGGGATTGGAGGCTCTAGGGACTCGAAGGGATTGCGGTTTGGGGTTTAGGGTCCCGTACAAGCAGATGGGCAGTTTTCTAGTCGTCGTGTGTCGAACCTGTCTGGGGTTCTTGGAGTCACCGTTTCGGGTTTAGGATTTCGTGTTTAGGGCTCAGGGTTCCCTGTTACATATCTCATGGGCTTGCGTGCGAAGAAGCAGGTCGGTAAATCTCAGCAACAAGCACAACCCGTCAACCCCCAGCCTTAAAGCCCCTAAATCTTAAACCCAAAAGCCTTCCTTTGCAAGGAGTATGCCAAGAGCATTCTGGACCAGATGTATGGCACATCAAGAGGAGGTGTTGCGACTCGACTCTGTCTATACCGTGCTGGCACGGGACGTTACTGGTGAAGGCATTTTCCAAGTTGCGAAGCCAGAGCTGCAGCGCTCTTCTGTAAGATGTTCCAGATTTCCGGGTCTGGGTTCGTTGCAATCAGTTAGCTACAAAGCATGCCTGATGCTAGCCCAAGGCGCCAGCGTCAGGTGCCCCTATGCCTGCCTACGAGGCAGCGACATGTTTTGCATTTAGATCAACCTTCAGATTTGGCAAGTAACTGAGCTGCGAAGCTTCGTGCACACTCTGCAATGCACGTTGTGGCCAGACTGCGATGCCGGCGGCAGCTGCTGCATCTTCTGTGGCCATGGCAGTGTCAGCTGGTCCTACGCGGGACAGCATTCCTCAGAGACAGCTAGTCATTCTGCTGCGCACCTCAGCGCGAATGTGCCATGAAGTTGGCTCATGCTTCCCTAAACTGCAGATGGTGTCTGGCATTCGCACACGCGACAGAGCTGGTGCAATCATGTGCCACCAACTTGGAGGAGTTCATCATGGAGGGTCTGCGAAACTTGTCCAAAAACGTTGTCGGCGACGACATCGACGCAGGGCCCTCAGTATTGGGACTTCCCAGAACGGATGTGATAACTTGCCATGTTGCTCTAACATATAGGGGTCCGTAATCATCCCCCCAAAAAAACTTAGTCTAATCATAGTAATGTCCCTCTATGCGGCTTTGGTAGTGTGATATCCCCCCCAAAAAACTTAGTGTAATTATTAGTCCCTCTATTCGGTCTGACAGTCGGCTCGGCCGATCTCGGCCAGATGCAGTGTGCTGAGCTTGCATTGCAGAGGATCTGCCGAGTGTGCAATCAGCGCCAATCCTCCCTTGAACTGTTTAGGGTTTAGGGTTCCCCTCACCTGTCTCATGACTGCTGTAGGCCTTTCGTTTGTCTTGCAGTGATCTGCCTCATAAAAGACATCTGCCCATGGCCAGATGGATTCGCCTCTTATGGAAGCGGGAATGGACAGTCTGTCCAGCGTGGAGTTTCGCAACCAGGCAGGCTACCGCCCATGGTGTAAAATGCATCTTCGTCCATGCAAGCTGAACCTCAAACCCTCAGCCCTAAACCAGACCCTAAACCCTAAACCCTAAACCCTAAACCCAAACCTATGCCTGTTGACGCCTCTTTGTGCCAGGTCCGAAATCTGGTTCCGGGCATCAATTTGCCTGCTTCAATGGTTTTCGATTATCCGCCTGTGTCTCAGACTTTTCCAGACGTGCCCGCACAGAGCCACGAGATTTTGGGCTAAGCAGCTGGCGCTAAGGAACCTCAAATCGATGACGGACTTTATCCACAACAAAACCTCAGAAAGCTGATCTCGAGCCATGTCGGAGGAACAGAACGATTGCACTCGGCACGTGGACTGATATGTGCTTCCCACAGTTTTATGGCAGTGGTCTGGACCATGTGCTCCTGACTGCAAAGTTCCCATGCAGTCTCCCTCGCATCTGCATGACTTGGGAGCCAAGCGACCAAGGGCAGCTGCGGAGTGCTAAGGATAGAGTCATAAGGGAAAGTATGAGGCCGACCACAAGACTTTGATCACGTAGATCATAGGGCTGCCTCGTATTTATCCCCAGATAAGCGCTGTAACAGTAGAAAGACTTAAAGCGAATTTACAGCACCCGCAACCTTGCGGCACTGGGTGCGGAAGCTCAGTGACCCCTTCGTAGTTCGATGTATCGCTTGGGCAGCCGATGCCTGCAATTTGAACAATCATGCGGGCCTTCATAAATAGAGTAGAGTTGTGGGGTGTAACAACATACTTATAGTATATTCTTAAGCATTATTGTATATGGTTTAGGTAATGTTTAGGTATGAAACTTTCAGGAAGATACTGTAGCACTACGAATTCCAGGCCCTGAAGCATGAGATTGTCTCGTAGGGCTTTTGGTCGTATACGTGTGCGTTTGGGATTCGAAAGAGAGCTCCCCGTCCAAGAAGGCCTGTGCGTTCTTCCGCTGACAGAAAAGACGCAAAGGGTGACCTGAGGAGGGCGAGGTTTTAGGCTTTTAGGCTTTGGGGCTTCGGGCTTAGAGTTGAGGGTTCAGGGTTTGGGGTTCAGGGTTCGCGATTTAGGGTTTAGAGTTAGAGTTTAGGAATCAGGGCTTGGGGTTTAGGGTTCAGGGTTTGGGGTCCAGGGTTTGCGATTTAGGGTTTAGAGTTTAGGGCTTCTACTGGGGTTGCCGGAGCCAGGTAGGAAGGCAGACTGTAAGGCGAGTTTCGCACCCAAAAGGCTCCACCCTCATCTGGGCCCGGGTTCTGCTCTTGGGCACTTAGAAGCTCCCTGTGCGATTCTGGGGTTTAGGGTTTTAGGGCTTCAAGGGTTTAGAGTAGGGGTTATGGTAGGGCTTAAAGGCTTCTTCGTTAAGGACCCTAGACCCTAAACCTTGCGCTGTGTGCGACTCTAAGTTGTGCTCGTCTTGCTGCTAGGACCCTGAGATGAAAGTCTTCGTCGACGGCTGCATGTCCAAGTTAGGCGCAGCAGCACACTTAGCACCGGTGCCTGCCGATTGAGGGAAGCAACGTTGCTGAGAAATTCGATTTTGAGAAAACCCTAAGCCCTCAAGCGCATGATCAAATCGAAGTTGCACGTTGAGCGGCAGCAATAATCAAGTCCGGCAAGAGGCAGGCCCAGCGGCAGCACAAGGACCTGGAACAGCACCAACAAGGCGAAAAAAAAAAAAACAAGGCTCTGAGGCGCAGGGAAACAGGGAAAAGCACCAAATTCCAAAAAGGGAAACAAACTTGGAGACTTGGAAAGGCACCAAAAAGAGGCAAGCTAACAACGCAAATTTGGGGGGCCTGGCAGGCCCAAAGCACAACAGCAATCCGATCAAAAAGCTGCCGGCCAGCGACAGCAACGCCCAAAACTCGGAACCCAAACTCTATACAACTTCAACTTCTCTGAAGAAGCCCTAAACCCTTAAACCCCAAACCCTCCATTGTCTGCACGTCGGATAATGCTTAGGCCATGGATCTCGTCGTCGGTGCTACAGCGGTGAGGTCCTCGGAGCCTTACGATCCCATTTAGAGTCCTTTTAACGGTTTAGGGTTTAGGGTTTAGGGTTCAGGGTTTAGGGTTTAGGGTTTATAAGGGTGCCGTAGTCTTTTGGGGACCGAGAAGACAGGACCCCTAATTCAGGGAACTACCCATCTCGCTGACTGCTCACTGGCACGGTACGGCTTGACCTCAGGTGGATCTGGATTCTCGCTTTGCTTCTATCCGGACGAAGGCTTTTCCAGCATAGTTGAGAGTCAGAGCATCGCAGTCGTCCCCATCTCGGAAAAGCTGCAACCATAATCTTCAGACTTGTTCTTCAATCACCACCTCCTTCAATATCCGGATGATGAGTCTGAGCCCTAAACCCTAAACCTTAAGCCCTAAACCCAACGCTAAACCCAGACCCTAAACCCTAAATCCTAAAAAAAAGACCCTGAACCCGAAACCTTCCGAGCACGTAGAGGAGACAAGACGCAGTCGGACAGGCAGTTCAACAAAAACCCCCAACCCTAAACCCTAAACCTTCATACCTAAGCCCCTAAATCCTAACCCTAAGCCCTAACCCCTAAATCCTAACCCTAAACCCTAAACGCCTAAATCCTAAATCCCAACCCTAAACCCTAAACCCCTAAATCCTAACCCTAAACCCTAAACCCCTAAATCCTAAATCCTAACCCTAAACCCTAAAACCCCTAAATCCGAACCCCAAACCCTACACCATGTCCCATTTTGGAGGGGAAAGAGAGCCCCGGAATGGTCGGAGGCTAAGCGATTGTGTACCATGCATTACGGATACATCTCTAAATTCGTGTCCGTTTTAGTGTCCTTCTAGTAAGAGTGCCGCAAAACGTTCGGGGCTCAAAAGGGGTCCTAATTCCGAGATCTACCTAAATGATATATTACATATGATGGAATTAAGTATGGACTGTGTTATATGTTAATATGTTGAATCGCTATATTTTATGCATTATGTGTTGTATTTTACTACGATTATTCCATGATTTCTCAACGGACTCAACGGGCGAAAGGCGGCTTAAACGAACGAATTCCTGGGTTGAAACCTGAAGGTTTAGGGTTTGGGGCTTAGGGTTTAGGGTTCAGGGGTTTAGGGCTTTAGGGTTTAGGGTTTGGGGCTTCTGCAACAGGAGACAAACATCGGTAACTTTGTGACCGATGTCATGCGCCATGCCCTCAAGGCCAGAAGCCATGTTGTCCAGGTGCCATAGCGACAAACGTCTATGATTCTTATATATATATATATATATATATTCATGTATGTATATACATATATATATATATATATATATCTGTATGTGTATATGTGTATGTATATATATATATATATATGTACATATATTTATATGTATATATGTATATATGTATGTATAGAGTTGAGGACAGCAGGCTGTCGTGTAGTATACAGCATGGGACATCGATGTGCCTAGCTCTCAAGTTCCAGCAGGCCGATGTCGCCATGCTCAACAGTGGAACCCTTCGGGCGGATTCCCTCATCGAGCAAGGCAGGCTCGGTCGTTCGACTCTGTGACTTTGTTCTCGGCGCCCACAAGTTTGGGTTTAGGATTTAGGGTTTAGGGTGTGTTTCGAACAACGCGCGTGTTGGACTCCTGTTGTCGCTGGGATACAGCACTCAGTGCACTGCAACTTGCTTCTGCTTAGTTTTTTGGACTGACGTTCAAGCGCAGCCTATGCGGACTCACTTGCGAGTTTCCATTTCCGACAAGTAGGGCCGTTCATGAATGAAGCCAGGTGCAAGCTCGGAGCCCTTTGGGAGTTTCCGAAAATAAGGGGTACCTGATTTTGGGATCCTTATAATGAGGATCCTACTATTTAGGGTACTATATTAGGGTCGCCTGTTTTCGGAACCCCCCATATAACATCAGGTTCTTCTATACTACGCCAGAGCTAGAACCAGAGCCACGACCACGACAACGATCACGACCACAACCATACCATACGAACCCATACCATCCCGTGGTATACTATACTATACTATACTATACTATACTATACTATACTATACTATACTATACTATACTATACATACTATACTATACTATACTATACTATACTATACTATACTATACTACACTATACTATACTATACTATACTATACTATACTATACGAAGCGATACGGTACTAGAAGGATTCGTAATGGGATCGCGCCGTACCGTAGTCACCTCGTCTGCCACAGCCTTTTTGGTGTGCATGGCCTCAGCATGAACCGTAGTGTCGAATTTGTAGGGATCCTACCAAAGAGAATAGGCCCTGGTAGCTCAGGGTACAGAAAGCAGTCTCTGCGGCACTAATGAACCCGACAAAACCCAACAGAAGCGACAAAACTTGGGACCCAAACCCTATGCAACTACTGTCGACCATAAATAATTAGTAGCTGTATGACGTTGGGCTGCATTTCCAGCAACAGGCGGTCCAGCTCAGTCCTCATGGTAAAGTTGGCTGGTGCGTAGCGGTCCTTCCATAAACAGAAAAAGCTTCTCAGACAGTTTGGGTGCCTCGCACTTCGATTGCGAAGATTTCAGACGTAGGCCAGGGACTAAACCCTAAACCCTAAACCTGGTAGCCCAAGCAGCCCAAGAGGTGAGATCAAGGTCCGGGATCTCGTGAACTTGCTGCCGATGCTGGACGAGCTTTGCTTGCTACAGCTTTCGGGTGCACAGGCAGTCCTGTGACTCGTTGACCCTTCATCTTTGCATGTTTGCGATGGGACTCACCGCAGTAGAACACAGTTTTTTGTCCCTTGCTACCGGTACGACATGGGAGTTTCCGAAAATTAGGGCACCTTATTTTGGGGTCCTTATAATAGGGATCCTTTTATTTAGGGTATTATATTAGGGTCCCCAATTTTTGGAAATCCCCACATGAGCTTGAAATGCCATTCGACAGCCGGTTGCAGCAGAGCAAGAGCCCCAATGGAGCCACGCACGATGCAGGTTCTGGAAGCCTTGGAGAATTCGGTATCCCAATACCCTCGCCTTGAGGGACGGTTCGCACAAGCCACACGCTCAAAAGGGCCCGGTCTCATTCCGAGAGTGAGTTTTTGTCGTAGAGTGCCAGCGTCTTTCAGGTCAGCGGCGTGTCTTTCCAGTTCGATGCGGCGAAGCCGCCGAACCAGCGCATCGTCGAGGGCAGCGTGCGGACGCAGCCCCAGTATAGCATAGTACAGGGGATGCATCATGCTGTCCGGCTCGCTTCACGTTTCCGCTTCTTTGAGTCCGGTCGCAACGGCTTGGACAAATAGATCAAGATACATAAAAGCAACCATAAAGTATATATGTATATTTATATACACATATGTATGTATGTATGTATGTATGTATGTATGTATGTATGTATGTATGTATGTATGTATATACGTGTACACGTATCTATGTTTATAGTTCTACGTGCAAGTGCACATATGTAAATCATATTATGTATGGATATCTGTCTATCTATCTATCTGTCTACCTACCTACCCAGCTACCTACCTGCCTGCCTGCCTGCCTGCCTGCCTACCTACCTACCTACCTACCTATCTACCTACCCACGTAGCTAGCTGGCTGGTTAGCTAGCTGTCGGTCTGTCTGTCTATCTATCGATCCATCGATCTATCGATCAATCAATCAATCAATCTATCTATCTATCTATCTATCTCTCTGTCTATCTATCTATCTATCTAGCTAGCTAGCTAGCTAGCTAGCTAGCTAGCTGACTGGCTAGCTGTCTGTCTGTCTATCTGTCTATCTGTCTATCTATCTACCTATCTACCTGTCTACCTTTCTATCTATCTATCTATCTATCTATCTGTCTATCTATCTATCTATCTATCTATCACTCAATCAATCAATCAGTCAATCAATCAATCAACCAATCAAACCATCAACACGCACACACACACACACATACATACATATATATATATATATATTCTAAGTAGAAGTGTCAGCCGCTGTTCGCTGATGGGGCGTCATGCATAAACTGCTAGGATCGGTCCAGACTTGCTCGACCTGGAAAAGAACTACAAGCTTTGCACCAAGGAGCCTATGGACATATATCATAATTAGGGTTTAGGGTTAGGGGGTTTAGGATTTAGGGGCTTAGGGTGGAACAACCTGGTTAATGTTGATGAAATTATAGATGCCATTGCAGCAGTGCGAAGTCAGCCTCTGGCGCCCAAGACACACGGCAATTTTCGGCACCATCCACTGGAAAAGAAATCAGCACTGGTCGTGGAAGTCTTCAGGTTGGATACCGCAAAGAAGAACACGATTTTCGGCTTTAGGGCTTATACAGTTTCGCCACAGGAAAAATCAAAATGCACCTCATGGCATGAGTTGGTCAAACCACCGAAGCCAGGAAAAGCTGTTTTCTTCCATCATTCCAAGGCGAAGACTCGCGCAGGATTTTTCTGCCGAAGTCGCCGTGGGCATGGTTCTAGCCCAGCCTTGTTCGCCTTTTTATTTTATTTTTATTTTTGTCGGCAGTGTTGCTGTTCAGACATGCTTGTGAAGAGTCCTGGAGTCTTTTCTGTAGGCCCCCTCTCTCTCTCTCGCTCTCTTTCTCCACCTGATGTCTCAATCCCGTACGCACTCTCTCTCCCTCTCCCTCGCTTGCTAGCCTAGTACGCGCTCGCTCTTGCATTTTGATTTCTTTTTTTGTATGCGTTCTTCCTCCCTTTTTCTTATCTCTTGCCTTCTGTGTTCCCCCCCGTCCCTCCGTCCTCCCTTTAGCTTGGGGCTAGCTGCTCTGGAAATGGAAGAGCTGCTTACGCGTAATGTGTCGTGAATTCACAGGGCTTCCCGTTCTTTCACTTGCGGGTCGAAGACTTGTGGCATGCACCAGTAAATGAAAGTTCCTCCACTGAATACGGCTAGGGCATTCAGCCGGTCACTGCTCAATTCGGCACGTCTGTGTTGCACTGCATGTCGCTCTCCCGCAATGCAGGACTACCTGCGTCAGGGCAAGGACGGTTACGACGTTTTCCGGGACGGCATATGCAGCGAGCTTAGCAGTTGTACGTGCGTTTCGAATCCGGAGTCTCCATGATGGCAACCCGAAGTTGGTTGGAGCATCTTACCCATGCCTTGCTTCCTTGAGGTTTAGCTGATGGGGAAACGGCAGGGATACTGCCCTCATTGGCCCTGGCCTCAGTGTCCACCAGCAGACTCTGAGAAGATCAAGTGCAATGAAACTGCAGCATCAAGGACGACTCCAGCTAGAATCGCATCACAGGATGTGTTTTCTTCGTCACAGGTCAGGGATTGCTTTGCAAACTTGGACATGCTGAACGGGCGGAGGGCTGAGTTCCGAGCTGCGCCTGGCCGTACAGCGCGTCCCCCCCCCCCCCCCCCCCCCACGCGCACATCAAAGATTCCTCGCATCTCAGGGAGAGCGACACGGGTGTGGCGAAGCGGTCCTCCACGTTCAATGCCATGAGGCCCGGATCCCAATCGATCGAGGATCACTGCACAGGGGAGTGGTCGGAGCCGATGGCAGGCAGCCGTTAGTACTCGGAGAGTGGCTTTGATAGGATGCTGGAAACCTTCAGTCCATCCAAAGCAGGGGCCCGAGGATGAAGGAAACTTTCCGATCTTGTTATAAAATACTATATATATATATATATTGTGATGTGTGGCCGCTGTGCGCAAAGCTGTACCATGCAATGCTGCCGGTCTGAGGTGGGTGATGGACCGGAGATGCTGAAGCGGTATGCTATCTATCCGACGGTTGAGGTCGTAAGTCCACCTTCGATGCCATTGACTGTCACTGGCACGTCAGATGGGGTTTCCCTAAACCCTAAACCCTAAACCGTTTGGATTTGCCCCTTAACCTATTCGGATCCGGCTTTAGATCCTGACTCGATACAGCGTCACAGGTTGTGCCGGTGTACTCAGCTTTTCGTACCGGCTCACAAGGCTGCAGGTTTAGGGTTTAGGGTTTAGGGTTTAGGATTTAGGGTTTAGGGTTTAGGGTTTAGGGTTTAGGGTGAAGGAACACGCCAGATCGGCGTAGAAACGCCCGAGGATCTTGAGGCCGATCATCTGGTGCATAGGCCATCTACATAAAAAAACATACTCTCATCTACTGTTATGTGCTTTGGCATACCATGATATACCATAATATACCATAGCATTCTATACTATACTATAAGATACTGTACTATAAGTCAATACACTGTAGTTCTGGGCCCTGAGACTCCCGACAATCCCTAAGAAACTCCCAGCCAAAATCTGTCTGAATGTTACTGCTGTTCGGTCCATGGCAAATGTGGCGGGATCGGGCTGCGCTGGAGCCACCCAGCTGCGGCATTGGGCTGGAATCTCAGACAACCCCTTGTTAGGGTTTAGGGTTTGTGGTTTGGGATAGAGAGTTCAGGGTAGTACTGTAAGGGGCGGGCAGGCCAGCGTCAGCAAGAAAAAAATAAGCGGCTGTGCATTGTGATGCTGGTGGTGACTGGTTGTACTTTGTTGCCTGGGGCCATGCTGCCAAACCGCCACTACGAGGGTAGTTTTCTAAAGTAGGGTCCCCTTTGGGGTCCTTTTTCTGCGGGTGCCGTACTATATTGGGGACGTAAAAAAGGGACCCTAGTTTAGAGAACTACCCACGAGGAGTATGCCTTCAGCAAGGAGGAGCTGCGGAAGCCGCTCTCTGCTAGAGCTGGAAGGCCCACGAGGGGGTCACGCGTTGCCCGAAACCTCGGTAACCATGAATAGGGTTTAGGGTTTAGGGTTTAGGGTTTAGGGTTAGAACCCTAACCCCCCAGGTACCTACCATATAGGGTACTAGAGCTCCTAGGGCCATATATAGTAGGTACCTGGGGGGTTAGCGGAATACCTTGACAAGCAAGTGCTTGTAGTTCAAAGTCACGTGCAGTGCAAGTTTACGTATTCTACGTTTTTCTTTGTCAGCCTTGTGTAAAGCCATCCAATGTTACAGGAGCCCTCGCCGGAGCCTTGGCACACGGCATCAGATTTGCAATTGCTGGAAATGTGGGAGTTTCCGAAAATTAGGGGTACCTTCTTTTGGGGCCCTTATAATAAGGATCCTACTATTTAGGGTACTATATTAGGGTACCCTATTTTTGGAAACCCCCAAATGTCTTGAATGGGACCTGCCTCTGAAGTTGCTCAAGGTGTCAGCGTGAGAGATAGGGGATGTGTCTGCAGGATCAGGCTTGAGATAATAGTCGGGCTTTTATAATTTATAAGCTCCTTTATAAGCTCCACGTAGTACTACTTAGTTGTGTGTTATACTGTGCCTCCGGCACTGAGACTAGCCGCTTGGAGGGTCTTCTGGGTCACCTGCGGGATGAGTTCGAAGAAGACCGGGCTGACTGAGAGCCATGGCAAAGGCTCAAGTGCCCGGAGCTGAGACTGTAGGCCATGGCAGGGCGTGACACCCCTTCTTCCCCCCACCCCCCCCCGTCTGTGGGTGGGTGAGGGTTAGGGGGGGGTGGGTTTGGGGGTTGGAGTACTTCTCTTCTGCATGAGTCGGTTCGGATTGCCCACCCTCCTCCCCATGTGGACATCTTAGCACCTGTGATGACTGGCACAGTTCAGACTCAAGATTCTCGAAGGATGGCACGCCCAACCCACCAAATCCCCGTGACTGTCGGCGCTTTCGAAACCAGGTGGCTAGACCAAATCGCGGCTCTCACACAGATTACCCGCTTGCCTCGTGCTCCGCGCCGAACAGGGTGATGGGGGGGAGGGGGGCAGACCGGCACCACGCAGAGGGCTAGGCCATGCTAGGCCACTAGTGGGGATAACAGCTGGGCACCCATGTGCACCCCATGTCCTTGCCGTTGATTTTTGGCCTCAGCCAATCTGCCATCAAGGTGCTGGTCTGAAGGAATGTGTCATGTTGCAAACTCCCATTCCGGTCACGTTGCTGTTTTTAGAGGCTTAGCAAGTAGGCTCATAATGTGGTGATCAACTCCTGGGGTCAAAAGTGCTAAAGCGTGCAGCCTTCAGCAACAGTCAGTTGGGAGTTTCCGCAAATTAGGGGTACCTTATTTGGGGGTCGTTATAATAGGGATCCTACTATTTAGGGTACTACATTAAGGTCCCCTATTTTCGGAAACCCCCAGTTGTGACAACACGACGATCTCGAATCAGCAATGGCATCCAAAGCCCTTGTCGTGGATTCGTCGCACTTTGGCCGTCGCCTCAGCGGTCGTCACTGCAATCTACTGACGCAGTCGACGCGCAGATCAGATGCCGCAGTAAACCCGAAACCCTAAACCCGAAACCCTAAATCCTAAACCCTAAATCCTAAACCCCAAACCCAACCCTAAACCCTAGCCCAGATCAGATGCCACAGTTTGAGGTTCGAGACCTGGTTCTGCCGAGGAGAACAGGCCCTTTTTGCTTTTGCAGCTCCACTGTACAAACTTACATGTTGCGACGAGGGTGAGCTCATAATGTCCCTTATGCTAACCTTTTTCGTATCCCGTTTCTGCAACCTTATTTAAGCTCCCTACCTACATACTTATGTCGTGAAGCCCTTAACACCAAACCCTAACCCCTAAACCCTGAACCCTAAACCGCAAACCCCAAAACCCTAAACCCGAAACCCTCAACCCTAAACCCTAGTAACGAAGTCTAGCGAAGAGGATCCGACGCTTGGCGCTCCACTTCGCCCGACCTCTCGTTGCTGCGACCGCTGCGGCTTTGCCGGACGCGCATGCTGCTCGGCAGAAGGAGGTTTACGGCGTTTAGGGTTTAGGGTTTAGGGTTTACGGTGTAGGGCTTGGGGTTTAGGGTAAGGTACCCTTAGGATTCGGCGTGTTTCTGGTTTTGATTATGGTTATGATGCATTGTGATGTCGATACTGTAGTCTTGTTAGATTTTTTCAATGTTGTAGTTTCAGTATTCTGCGAAGCGTTGTTATAGGTATCAACTTTGTGGCAAAAACAGTCATTATCCTTCTATTCCTACTTCTGTCATGACTGCTATTATTGCTCTTGTTATTCTTCTTTGGGCTGGGAAGTGCCCCCCGTTGTTTCGAGGTGAAGTCATGGACGAAGGGGCTCATCGCCCATCTTATCCTCGTCCCTCCGTGGGTCTTTCCACCAGGCTCGACGCTTGCGCATGACCTCACGGTGATCATCAGCATCGTAGTCGTGGTCGTGGTCGTGG